AGGCGGTGCCGTCCCAGGCGCAGTAGGGGTCCCGGGCCAGGCAGCACTCGGCGCAGGCCGTGCCGTAGCCCTCGCAGCGGTGCAGCCGCACCTGGGCCACCCCCGGGCTGGCGCCCACGTAGAGCGTTTGCTGGGGGAACGACGCGAGATGGGGACGATGAGGCGGGAAGCGGGAGGGCTCAGCCCGGCCCGCGCTCCCACCCTGGCTGCACTCACGCGCTTGACGGAGATCTCCATCTGCGTGATGGGCACGGGCGTCTGCGGGGAAGAGAGGGCGTCAGGCTGCGCCCGCCCTCACCCCGAGGGCCTCGAGGGGCATGGAGGAGGTTGGGGCTTTGGGAAATACAGGGAGAGCTGCTGTTTCCAGCCCCCCCCTCCACCTGGGGCAGCACAGGGCACCTTAAAAACCTGCAGTTCCTCCAGAATGACTTCGTCCGGGGTGGCCGAGGCTGCGTTCTGCAGCACCACGACCTTCAGCACCGAGCCGGCGTCTAGGGAGAAGCAGGAGGATGGGGCATGAGGCTCTCACCGCGCTCGACCAGCCGCGCGGCTGCCCCTGAGCAGAGCGCTGGGCAGCCCTGGGCTTTTACAAGACCCTGCACAGCGCGAGGTCTCCAGCACCCTTGGGGCAGCGCTCAGTCCCATGCCTCGGTGCCTCCCTGCTGGGGCAAGGGCTGGGGGCCAGGCAGGTGGCACACGGGGTCCCTCCGTGCATCTGCTATGAACCTCTGGGCACTCATCCACGCAGCCTCTAGAGCCATCTCGAGCAAAAACTCTCACATGGCTTCAGCCTCAAAGCATGAGGCAAAATAAAAACCGATGGAGCTGGCAATGCCACTTCCCTGAGCAGAGCGGAAACACATGGTGCTGCAGAGCATGAGGGGCAGGAGAGGCAGCAGGTGATGCCCACCTTTGGCAAAGTGCAGATCAACTCAGTAGGTTTTAGAGGTATTTCAAAGAAAATCCTTCTCAGGGATTTTCTTGCTGCACTGGAGGGCGGCCGTGCCACCACACCCAGCAGCCCCACGGATGCCCTTTGGACCATCCTCACACGCAGCTACCTGTGCCAAGGAAGAGGACGTCGTAGTGCCCGTCCTCGGCCTCCACGCGGTCCACAACAAGCTGGCGCAGGTGGTGCTGCAGGTCGGTCTTGACCAGGAGGGGCCGGCCGTGCCGGGGGGACACGGGCTTGTACATGAGCGGGTGAGTGCGGGCGAAGTGCAGCACATCGTCGGGGTAGTCCTTGGTGGTGCTGTACTGGTGCCTGGGCTGGCTCGTGGTCTTGCTGGGGCACTGCGGGGCCGAGAGCAGCCCCCCTCAGCCTGGCCCTGTGCTTGGCCATCCCTCTCCCACCCTATCCTTGGGCAGGGGAGCTGATTGGGGTCTCCCCATGCAATGTGGGGTTCATCTCCCTCTTTCAGCAGCATGTCCCTGGCAGTGCCAAGGATCCTGCAGGAACCCCATCCCACATCACGGATTGGGGCAAGACCAGCTTTATCCCCCAACCCCAGCAGCCCCGGGGGTCAGGAGGCTGTCCCAGACCACCCCGTGGTGCCCCCCAGCCGGGGAGCTGCTCACCACGCCAGGCCGCGGGTAGGGCACCCGGCCCTCGTAGGCGGCCCACTGGTGCAGGGGGCTGTCCCGGTGGGTGAAGGGCCCGTTGAAGACGTCCCGGATGTCGGCCATGCGGTACACGCAGCCGGCCGAGCCCGTGGCTGGAACGGGATGGCGAGCAGCGCTCAGCAAGCCCCAGCCCAACCCCTCTGGCCAGTGAGCCACCAGCAGGCCCTGGGTGCTCCTTGCCACCACAGAGAGGCGGATCTCACACATCTCAGGGAAAAAATCCACTCCTGAGCATGCAAAACTGCGCATGGATAACGCCTGACCACGGCCAGTGCTTGCGGAACACGCTCCTAACATTAGATCCCAGTGCTGGGATGCTCCTGTCCCCCAGCACGGGAACAGGGCACCACCAGCCCTTTCTGCCCCGCGCATCTCCACACACTTGTGTTGCTGCTTGTCTGCTGCTGGACGCTGTCTTGTGGCAGCTCCTCACGGCCAGGAGAGACGTGCACTGAGGCCGGGCCCTCACCTCACTGTGGAAGCTGGGCGACTCACCTGACCGTGCTGAAGAGGGCGAAGATCTCAGGGTTCTTCTCGTCCTTCGTCCTCAGCAAGAAGACGTCCTCTGGGGAAGAGGAGCCCCAGCGCAGCATTTGTCACTGCCCCAGGCAGAGCCACCATGAGCTCCACAGAGCCACAGCCCGCGCGGCCCTCACCCAGCTCGTCGAAGTGGGTGTCGATGCCGCCGGGGCCTGGCACAGAGCACACCAGGCGGGCCTTGTTGAAGGTGCTCCACTTGTTCACCAGCACCCTCTGTCCCCCAGCATCATTCTGTAAGGATAGGGAGGGTCAGGGCCATCGCCGTAGCCTTGTGGCTCCCTTTGGGAACCCTTGGCTGCACCAGGTCCCCATGCCAGGGCTAAGACCGGGGAACACACTGAGCCCAAAAAGCCTGTGCCTGTGTGGCCACGTGGAGCTTTTCCAGCCAAGGATGCAGCCAGCCTTGGTGTCACCTCCCAGGGGATGCTGCAGATACCAGGCCATGCTAACCCCTCGGGGAAGGAAAGGGTAGAGAACGGAGAGCAGCCCAGCCAGGGGACTGTCCTCAAACCACAGTCAGAGAGATGCGGAGAGCCCGTCTCGTGCCCGCGGCGCTCACCACGCAGACCCGTGCCACGCGGCTGAGGACGGTGTGCTCCTTGCCCTCCGCCTCTGCCACCTTCTCCGCGAAGAAGAAGTAGACCTTGTCGTCATCGCGGTCGTCACTGTCCGGGATCAGGAAGGCTGCCACGAACTTGGGCTCTGCGGGAGAGCCAGCCGCGTGGGGCAGGGACCCCGCCGGGGCTCCGCACCGGCCCGGCCCCGCTCGTACCCGCCGCCATTACCCCTGA